CTTTCCGGTGATTCAGTTGTTCCACATTTCGGGGTCTCAGATTGCTTTCTGGAGCTTTTGAGAGATGGGCACAATTCCCTTTCAATTTATAAGAAGGGAAATTAGAAGGTAGTTAAGGGGCCATCTAGGGTTTTTGTTTTATTTGTTTTTGAGGTGTTGGGGGATCTCAGAGCCTACACAGCATGCTAGGCAAACACTCAACCACTGAGCTATATCCCCAGCCCCCAAACCAAGATTTTGCCTTTCAAATGTAAGAATGACCACATTGTTGGACGTGGTGGTACATTGGTACATGTCTGTAAACCCAGCGCTGAGGCAGGAGGATAGCAAGTTCCAGGCCAGCACAGCAACTTAAGGAGGTCCTAAGCAATTCAGTGAGACCCCATCCCAAAATAAAAAATGAAAAGGACTGGGGTAAAATGATCCTGGGTTCAATCCCCAGTACCAAAAAAAAAAAAAAAAGTTTGATATAGACTATTTAAAAATAAAATATATGTTTTATTACACAAGAGAAATTTTAAATAAATCATCGACAGTACATTTTTTAAAAATGACTACAAAATGCCCCAACCAAGAAGAGATTTGGTGTTAGTGGGGTGTTTTGGATGAATCTAGGGTCATGGGCATGCTAGGCAAGGGCTTTACCACTGAGCTTTATTCCAGCCTCAAGAATAAACATTTGAGCAGTATATGGTGGCACACACCTATAATCACAGTGACTCCAGAGTAAAGCAGAAGGATTGCAAGTTCAAAGCCAGTCTCAGCAACTTAGTGAGACCCTGTCTCAAAATGAAAAATAAAAAGGGCTGGAGATGTGGCTTGGTGGTTAAGTGTTCCTGGGTTAAATCCGCGTGTGCATGTGTGTGTGTGTGTGTGTGTGTGTGTGTGTGTGAGTGAGAGAGAGAGAGAGAGAGAGACGTTTGAATACATAACACAAGGGAAAAATAGATTAGCCAGCGCCCTTGAGGAACTTGTTTTAATTGGGAGATAAACTATATAAATGTAAAACTAAAAGTCATTGTAAAGGTGTTGTGCAAATAATCCACTCACCAGCTACTTATCCAGGACCTGCTCTCAGCAAGGCATTATGAGTTAAGATGTAGGTAAACACCAACCCCACATCAAGAACTCAAGGTGTAAATGGCTTCAGTCGGGGAGGAAAAGGAGCAATTAGTGGATTATAAGAGCTGACTCTGTGAGGACCATGTAGGGGTAAAGAGAGGCAGATGAGGCCCTTGTTGGAAATGGCGCTTAGTTAGAATTTATTTGAGGAAGGTTCCAAGAGGAATGTGAAATCCAAAAGAAAACTGGGATAAAAACTGACCTTTGAAGGACATTTTAAAATGGAATCCAGAGGCCTTAGAGGTCAGGCCTAGCATGTTATTAGGCTGTTGCCTGGGAAAGGACATTCTCAAACTGGCCATGAAAATGACACAGGAATGAGAACCTTTGAACAGGGCCAAGGCTGTGAAGCCATTAACACCTTTTATTGGAGGCTGCAGCGGTAACGGGCCTCACAAATGACAAATGAACTTTACACCTAGAGAGCCCAGCAATCCATCATGAATGGCCCAATGATGTACAGTCTAAAAGAAAGCATTGCTATGTCAACACCTTTCTTTTCATGTACCTTGCAGAATTACCTTGGTCCTCAGTTTCTCCTTCCTTTTTAAAGTCCTGGCTAATCTGAGTTTCTTTGGAGCACTCATTCAGAGCCGTCTGATTCTGTGCTTTCTAGAACTGCAGTTCTCAGATCCCAAATCCAGTTCTTTTGCTTCCATGGTTTCTGAGTTTAAATTGATCAACAGGAGGTCAATACTGTGTGATACTGGAAAAAAGAAGAGATAAAGAAAGAGAGTGAATAAGCAAAGTCTTTCCCCATGCACATCTTCCTGACCCAAGTCCCAAGTCACCTTTTCCATGGAGCCTTCTAGGTGGAATCAGACACTTCCTCTCCTGGCTCTCAAACCATCCCTCATACAGAACCCCATTGCTACATGGATTCCTTACCGGTTTGTCTCAACCCAAGGTCTCCTTCAGTGCCAGCACCAAACAGGTCTTTTGCCTCTAAAGGGACTGAGTCTTGTATTCACAGTGGAGTGCCTCACTTTATTTTTGCTTGTTATTTTTGTTTCTTACTATTTTATTGCAGCATAACTTACAAACAACTGAGTGCAAAAATCTTAAGTGTGCAGTCCAGTGAATTTTCACATACATTGATACTTCTGTAATGTAGGGATGAAGAGGGTCTTCCCTCTGTCCCCTGGAAGTTTGTGGGAATAAACTGACAAAGATTAAATGGGAGAAAAAGTGCCTGGGGTTGTGGCTCAGTGACAGAGCGCTTGATAGCATGTGTGAGGCCCTGGGTTCAATTCTCAGCACCACATATAAATAAATAAAATAAAAGTCCATTGACAACCAAAAAATGTTTAAAAACTTTTTTTTTAAATGGGAGAAAAGGTGTACAAATTTACTAACCTGCATAAGTGGGAAACCATAGCATGCCACGAGGTGTAGTCCCCACATGCTTAATATTATACAGGAACTTGCATACCCTTTTCCCTAGGGGAGGGAGAGAATGGGAAATAAATGTAGGTGAATTCTGAGGACTTTTAAAGGATTTTTAGGGGAGTGAATGGAGACACTCTCTTGGAATCTGAAGGAACCCAAAGAACAGACATTAGCTTGTCATGAAAGTCCATCCAGGTATGTTACATTTCTCAGTTTTCTTTTCTGAGCCAGATGACAGGATTTCAGGGTGAAGATAGAAGGTAACTGGGTTCCCTTCTGCAGTATGATCTTAATGCTGATAAAGGAATTCCACTGCCCCTCTCTGTGCACTGGAGGGAAGAGAAACAAGACGGGTTGCAGGAGGAGCTGGTGATGTAGCTCAGTGGTAGAGCATATGCTTAAGACCCTGGGTTCAATATCCAGCATACACACACACACACACACACACACACACACACACAACTATAATGATGTGGATTCTGAGCCTTCTTTTCAGACTTTTAAATTTTCTTTAGGTTAAATTGCTTAGTATACCAAAAAATGCAAAATTGGGGGAGGGTATTATTATTCTTTGAGTCCTGACAGTAACCACCACCCCAGATCAAGCTACAGACGGCTCCTAGCAACCCATACACTGTGGGCTGCTTCACTGTGGCAGAGTCATTGTCCTTGTGGCAGAGGAGCAGGGCAATGCAGCGGAGAGCACCAGCTAGGGAAATTATGAAATAATTTCAGGTGTTCAGGCTGGAAAAACAAAAACACTAGGCAAAGCCTTTGTACGTGAAGAATTAACATGCACAGAGCAGATCTGTTCTCTGTGGGGCTCTGGGGAGCAATTATAGGGAACATTTCAGTTTAGCACAAGACCCTTCCTACCACCAGAGCTGACCCACCTTGGAAGCAGATCTCCAGGGAATGACGAGAAGGCCCTCATCGATACAGGTGTCAGACAAGAACAGAACTGACCAGCACTTAACAGAGACTATGGTGGGATAGGGACTTTGTTGGAGGTTGTTCCTCCCAACTCTATGGTTCTGGAATTCTGCGATAGTGGCAGAGAGGACTCAAAAACTGTGATTATGATTTGTCCTTATTTCAGAGGATAACTGTTCATTTTATTACAAGTACTGCGCAGGCCCACCATTATCATCATTTGGTAAATACTAATCATCATCTACAGAGCAATTGAGCCCAAGGGACCCTGGACATCTCCTCTGGGACTCAACGTCTTGAGAGGGAAGGAGCAGAGGCTGGGGATGGAACCTTCATCTGCAAGAGAAGTTGGCTGTCCCCACCTCATGCCAAATCCTCTTGGGATCACCCACCCAAACACTTCCTTGATCCTTTCAGTTTTGGTCCCCTGGCAGGCAAATGGGCATGATGTCATGACTCTTTCCACTACTAGAACATCTGGACAGAGGATACACAGTAGGGGCTTACTGCTCTGCCTCTTGGGGCCTGTACAGGAACCATGGCCAAATATAAACCCACCGTGGCCGCCTGGGAGAGGGACAGTCTGGGTCCCCAGCAGGGTCCTGGGAGAACACCCAGCCTGGAAGTCCAAATAACCCCCTATGCCCTACCAAGTCCTTTTCTAACAGAAAAAAAAAGAACTGTCCCAAAACTCTTTCCCGCGGCCCCCTTCTAAGAATTATTTCAGATTTCCCCCTGGGATTACTCCAGGTCACTGCTCTCCTTCCTCCAGCCCCTCCCCACACTGGGAAGGACCGAGATGGAGTCTGATCAGAATAAGAACATCATCCCCTTTCCCGCACCCTTCCAGGGAGTAGATGAGATGGCTGGTGAAGACAGACGTTCAGCCCTTCCTGGGAGCTTGGTGTGGGGAAGATCCTGGGGTTTCATTCTAAAAGACAATGAACTTAAGCTTCTGAGACTATATGGAAGCCGCGAATACTCTCCTAAGATAAAATGCATATATGACATTTTGCTTTCCATATTGCAAGACTAGACAGGCACTGACAGGCCCTCGAAGTGCATCTGCGGAGCCCCTGGGCTTCAGGCTTGAGGCTCCGCGGCGTCTCCTCCGCGGACAAAGCCGCGGGTGTGTCGGGGAGGCCTCGGGGCTCTCCCGCCGGCTAGAGCGCAGGCGGGTCGCGCTCTCCAGCCTCTCGCTGGGAGCACCAGGACACCTCGGGCGCTCAGTCTGCCGGGCTGTGCAGTGGGCGCGCGGGGTCCCTGGGGGCCGCGTAGCGGCGGTGGCCGGCTGCCGGCTGGGAGTGGGGGCGGGGAGCGCGGGGAGCGCGGGTTGGTCCCCGCCGCGGGGGCGGGCGAGCGCTGGTGCTCGGCGAGCAGCGGGAGGCGGGCGCCCGGCACCGCGCGAGGGAGGCTCGGAGCCGACGCGGGCAGGGCGGCAGAGGCGTCCCCGCGCTGCGGACCGAGGGCGGGCCTGGCCGGGCGGCCCCTCCCCGCCCCTCCCTCCCGGCCACTGGCCTCCGGGCCGGGCCGGCCTCCCGCGGGCGTGCGGCACTCGGGCACCCGGCTCGCTCCGAGCCACAGCCGCGAGCCCGCCCGGCAGCCGAGGCCATGGGCTGCGACGGCCGCGTGTCGGAGCTGCTCCGCCGCAACCTGCAGCCCACGCTCACCTACTGGAGCGTCTTCTTCAGCTTCGGCCTGTGCATCGCCTTCCTGGGGCCCACGCTGCTGGACCTGCGCTGCCAGACGCACAGCTCCCTGCCCCAGATCTCCTGGGTCTTCTTCTCGCAGCAGCTCTGCCTCCTGCTGGGCAGCGCCCTCGGGGGCGTCTTCAAGAGGACGTGAGTGCCTCGCCCGCGCGCCCCAACTCGTGGCCCCAGGTCTGTCCGCGACCTCCCTTCCCTGCCCCCCGCCTCATCGCTGCCCCTGCAGCCGCAGGCTGCCAGTCGCTCCCACCTTCTGGCTGGCGGCGACCACCTTACCCAGCTCTGCCAGCTGTGCCGGCCCTCGCCCAACAGCTGCCTTCCTCCCCCACCCCAGCTCTCCCCCGGAAAACTCTAGGGACTGAAGGTGACTTCTGGATTATTTATTTGTCTTTGCTTACCCCTGTAAGAGGGTAAAACCAGCCCTCATCCGCTCCCCCCAACCCAGCCCGTGGGCAGAGGAGTGATGGAGTTTGCAGAGGTGGGGAGGGACCCCTCTTGCGCAGCTTGTCTGAGGTTTGTCGGTGGCCCCAGCTGCCCGGGAGCAGGAAAGGGGGTGCAGTTGGCAGTGAGGTGGAAAAACAGAGGGACTGCCAGCTCAGGGGCAGTGCTGGTTGCCAGGGCTGGCCTGTGGTTTGACCAGGTGCCCGGGGTGACTACACTCACAGTCAGCTCCACATCGGTTGACGGCCATCTACCCAGGTGGCTACGGGGCTGGTGGGTTGGTTCTATGTGGTGGCCCCTGAGGGAGCCAGGACATGGTTACTGCTTGGCCCCTGAAGTCAGAGCCCTTCTGTCTCTGAGAACACACACTGACAGCATTGGTGAGGCTAGGTAGAAAGGCCCAGAGCCTCATCCATAACTTGGTAAAGTGATCCTCCTAGCTGGTGCCAAGGTCCCCTCCAGTCCTACTCCCATGTTACTCCTCCCTGACCTCTGCAGAAGTACAGAGCTCTGGACTTTCCCTGGCCTAGTGCCCAGTGATGCCCCTTTGAATGCCATTGTAGAGACTCCTTCTCCTGGCTCATTGGACAGGACCACCTGTACCAGGCCTTTCTGGAAGGACAGCAGGATTGACTGCCTACAACTGGGAAAACAGACCCAGAGCCAGGGAATAGGTGACTTCACACCAGACACTGCTGTCCGATTTCCCTAGTCCCCCCTCCTGACTGAGTGGTTTCCTGGATTGCAGGGACTCCATCAGGCAGCTGGCCTGGGAACAGAACCACAGTTGGGCTATCCCTGAGAAACCTCTGGAGGGGCCCTTCTGAGCCAAGAGCTCTTGCCCTCTGGCTCACTCCTAGGAGTGTGCAGAAGGGTGAGTTTTCCTCTGCACCTCACTTCCAGAGTTGATGGAGAGAAGAATTATAGGTGTCAGTGCAGGGGGACCCTAGTTTAAGCCACCTACACTTACCCATCATTAGCAATGAGGGAGTGATTAGCCCCGTTTTCCCCCAAACCCTCTTTAAACCAAAGAATTCTGCTTTTAAGAACCAAATCTTGGGCTGGGGTTGTGGCTCAGTGGTAGAGCGCTTGCCTAGCATGTGTGAGGTAATGGGCTTGATCCTCAGCACCACATCAAAATAAATAAATAAAATAAAGGTATAGTGTTCATCTACAACAAAAAGAAAAAAAAAAAAAAAAACCCAAATCTCAGCCAGGTGTGGTAGTGCCTGCCTGTAATCCCAGCCTACTTGGGAGGTTGAGGCAGGAGGATTGCAAGTTCAAGGTCAGCCTGGGCAATTTAGATCCTGTCTTGAAATTAAAAATAAAAAGGGAGCTTGGAGTGGAGCCCAGTGGTAGAGTAGCCCTGGGTTCAATCCCCAGTACCAAATAAATAAAGAAATAAATAATAAGTCTCCTTATGTACACCACTAGTTTTCACGGGTTTTGAATAAGATTAGATGTATAGGAGATTCAGAAAACTTCAAGAAAAAGCTCAAGATCCATTCTACCTAGAAATTTAATCAGAAATGAAGAGAGATTATCTCTAAATCTGAGAGGTATTGTGTTGTGTTTTCAGTATTCTGACTTACACGCTTTCTTACCTGGAATGTTTTAGGAATATGTATAGTTCAAAAGACAGGAAGGCGAAAGGACATAATTCTAAGTGACAGGTTGGCAGGCCTGCTTTTGTGACATGAGCAGAGATGTACACCCAACTGGGTCATCTCTTCCTGGCTAGTTTTGTGCAGTGGCTCTTACTCAATTGGGGCTCTCTAAACAGGCAACAGAGAGGGTCCTGCCGAGAAAATACACTCACAGAAAAGAAACTCAATAATGGTAACAATAATATTGAACTTTTCTCCATGCCAGGCATTATTAGTACTTTACTTGTATCAGTCTATTTAATTTTCACCACAACTCTGCAAAATAGTACTTTTTCTCCATGTTATATATGGAAGCTGAAGCACAGAGAGGTTAAGAAACTTGCCCCACATCACACAGTTATTAAGAAGAGACGTAGCTAGGATTTGTACCTCGGTATTTGACTTTAGAACTAATACTTTGGCAGTGGCTTGATGAAGCAGTCAACATCAATTCTATGGAGGAGGCATAGGCATGAGATGAGTATCCCTGTGAATCTTCATGGATTGAGCATTTCTGGACTCTGGCAGCTCCTGGGAAGCCAATGGTGGGCCTCTGGGGCTTCTTGCTGGGATCTCTGAGAATGAGATAGGTCCTATCAGTGGTTCAAGTTTAAATTCTGAACTTCAGTCCTCCTACTCCAAACATAAAATGTCACAAAGAACTCTTTCCTTCAGTGTAAAGCAAAAAAGCAGACTTCCGGTCGAAATGGGGGGATGCAACCCTAAGTCTAGTCAAGCACCTAGCTCCCTTGGGGTAGTTCTCAAGGTAGCCCCCCACCCCCAAATAAACAGTGCCTCCGTCAGCCTTGCACCAGTCTCTAACATTGCTGCCACAGCCTTGCCTCAGTTGAAAAGCTAATACCCCCACAAGTGCTTTTCAGCTTAAGTGATTACCAGCCAGTGTGCCAGGCTGGCACTCAGGAGTGGGGGATTCGTTTAACAAATCTTCAAGGGCCAGCTGTTGCGAGGGCGCAGAGGAAAGTGACGAATGACACATCAGAGAGTCAGGCATCACCTCCTTCTCTGGGCTCTGCACAGGGCTTGCCTACTACTTAGCCCAAAATGAGGACCCTGGACTGGAGGCACCTTCTGGATGCCTCCCAGGGCAGGCAGTGGAGGGGCAGCGCCTGCAGAGCTGGGATGCCCAGGAGGACTTGAGCCCCTCTCTGCTCAAGGTAGCACCAACCTTTCTCTGTCTCTGTCTCTCTGTCTCTGAGGCTTCTAGCATAGACAGAGACCTTGAAAGAGGTCACCACATGCAGACCTGGAGGGAGGAAGAAGGGTGCAGTTACAGCCATAAGAACCTGAACTAGCCCGTCCTTAGGAAAATCTTGCTTAGCACAAGAAGGAAACCTTTCAGAAGAGAGAAAGAAAAGCTACCTGTTGGCAGGTGAAGAGGCCTGTGCTTTATCACACAGGACAGGGAAAGGGCACTTAGACGGAAGGCACAGGTTTTCCCAGGTTTCTTGTGGACCTGTCCAACCACTCTGGGCAGCTGAGAACTTCTCTTATCTCGGAGTTATTGGAGCAGATAAGTGACTTTCTTAGCTTCCCCAGCCTTTTCCCAGCCTCCTCTGGCCTCTCCCCTGTCAATACCATCTGAATTGAAGGCTTGTCAAAGTCTTCCCTTTGCCCTATTCACTCTTGCCTCAGCCACCTCCCCCACCACCTCTCTCTCTCCAATTCCTTCTAGTCTGCAAGTACTGCCTGCCCCAAACCCAGCTCTGTCTGTCCTCCTGCCCCTTGTAACAAACCCATTCTTCACACCCCATTTAAGCAATTTTGAGATCTGCCCCACAAATTTCTGGCTCCCTGCTGTGCCCAGAACACAACCCAATCCAGTTCCTCTCTGAGCTGGGCTTTGGTTGACCTCCCATCCAGAAACCTTTTGCCTGTCCCTTCATGGCTTCTCTGCCTTTCAGCCTGCCCTAGATCCATTCCAGAGCCTCCTGGGATCCCAGCACCAGATATGGTGGTTGTTTTAAAAACCTACCTCAACATAGTCACCATAGGACCCAGCAAGAGAAATGAAAGCATGTATCCACACAAAAATTTGCATATGAATGTTCATAGCAGCATTATTCATAATAGTCAATAAGTGAAATCAACCAAATACCCAAGAGTAGATGGGTGGATAAATAATATGTGGCAATGGGGTACCATTCAGCCATTATGCTAAATGAGAGACCGGTCACAAAAGACCACAGAGTATATGATTCCACTTATGTGAAATGCCCAGAATGGGGGAATAAGTCGTCACAGAGCATTGGTTACAGTTGCCTAGGGCAGGAGGTGGTGTGGAGAGGGGTGAGGGGGTGACTGCTAACGGATATGGGTTTTTCCTTCTGAGATGACCCAAGTGGTGATGGTTTCACAACTCAGAACATGATCAAAACCATGGAATTGTATCCTTAAGTGTACAATTTTAAGCTGGGTGTGGTGGATTACACACACATGTAATCCCAGGAACTCAGGAGACTAAGGCAGGAGGATCACAAGTTCAAAGCCAGCCTGGGTAAATTAGCGAGATACTGTCTCAAAATAAAACTTTAAGGAAAGGGTTGGATGTAGGTCAATGGTAGGACACTTGCCTAGTATATAGTAGGCTTTGGGTTCAAATCCCAGTACCACACACACACACACACACAATTTGAATTTTATAGTATATAAATTATATATCAATTTTTTCATTTAAAAAAACCTCAAAACTCATTCTGTCAATTCACTCATTGAACATCTCTCTCTCTGGAGCCAGACCCTGTTTCAGAGGTGAACATGCCAGACAAGGCCCCTGCTTTTATGGAGCTTATGTTCTGAAGGGCAATTTTAGGTGGTGAGATAAAGGAAATGAAGCAGGACAGGGAGGAAGAGTGGCAGAGAAGGAGCCTATTTTAGCTGAGTGCTCAGAGAAGGCCTCTCTGAGCAGGTGATATTAAAGCCGATACCTGAATGAACAGAGATAGCCAGGCGTGCAAAGAATGGGGTGGGGTGGGGGTGGCCTGGCAGACAGATGCAAGTTCAAGAAGGTCTAAGGTGCACATCCCTTTG